CCCCTCCAATCCCTGCACTGTGTGAGGTGCTGGGGAAGATACAACATTGAAATTGTCATCCCCTCAAGGGATGACAGCAGTGAGTCCATGCCTCCCAAAGGTATAAAAGCGTGGTTATGTCATCGAAATCAGCAAGCACTTATTAAACACTCCTTCTCAGACTCTAGAGAAAGACTAAAGCTCTTAAATAGTGAGAACCTCATTTTGCTCATTTTCCAAATGAGAGGAGTATATACTGTGTACTATACTATTTTCTCGCTTGGATTATTACAGGTAAAGTACTTGGCAAATCTTTCTACCCTAAAAGAGTGTGAGCTGTCATCATTCATTCATTCATGCACCAAAATTTATTAAGTGCAATGTTCTATGCTAGATGTTAGAGACCATGACAAAACAAATAAGAGTTCCTTCAGTAAGCTTCTACATTATTATCTCATCTTGTCTTCTTTCTTTCTTCTTTCTTCTTTCTTTCTTTCTTTCTTTCTTTCTTTCTTTCTTTCTCTCTCTTTCTTTCTTTCTTTCTCTTTCTTTTTCCTTCCTTCCTTTGTTCCCTTCCTCCCTCCCTCTCTCCCTTCTTCCTTCCTTCCTTCTTTCCTTCCTTCTTTCCTTCTTTCCTTCCTTCCTTCGTTCCTTCCTTTCTCTCTCTCTCTCTCTCTCTCTCTCTCTCTCTCTCTCTCTCTCTCTCTCTATTTCTCTCTTTTACTTCTTTCTTTCTCAGAATTTAGATAGAAAGGGCCTTGGAAGAAGCCCATATTTATTTAATGTTCTATGGATTATCATTGTCATCACCATTAATTTTGTTAGGTTTGTTAGGCTAGGTTTCATTAAGTTGTCTAGGTTAGTCCTCTCCACAATTGTTGTCTGAACCAGAAATGGAGCTTTGATCCAGTAGTTCAGGAGTATTAAGAAGATGTACTGATCTGTCTTTGTTCCTTGCATCAACCGTCATATTTGGGAGCTAATTTTCTGTTGGATCCCATTAGAGTTGGGAGATCTGCAGGCAGCAGGGAGAGACAGCAACTACAGGCTTAGCATATTTTGTTTTTCTTTATTTTTGTGGTTTGTCTGCGGATAATACCCTGAGCACACCTCAGCTGTCCTCAGCTCATTCCATCCATTATCCTTTGGCTAATGGCCTTTTGCCAGATGCCTGCAGTTCACCCTATGCTATCTTGGTAGCTTCTGTGGTTAGGACCTGCTAGCCCTATCCAAATTTTGGACCTAGGGAAGCCTGGTTTCCCATACCCCCCTCATCTTGGTTAGGGAGCATCTCAGAGCCCTATGTCTTAGCCTACATTAGCTGTTTCAGGTCCTGTAGTTTCAGTTAAGAAGGGAAATGCTATGGTTTCCAGTGACAACCCCAAAGGATATTACTTTTTACAGCAAATGGGGGATGAGTCACCTGCCCAGTTGAAAGCCATTAACTGGGGGCAATCCCCAGATTCAACCCTCATTTCAAGTGGGGAAAAAATGGTGTTTATGCAAGAAATAGATTTAAAAGTTGTGAAATATCACCCAGTTAAGGAAATTCATCTGATCACAGGCTGTACAATTAATAATGAATTTAAAGCCTCATCCAACTGGCTGGATATGATTTTCTGGGTATTGTTTACTGTGTTGTCATGTGATATATTAATCTCATTAAGTTTAGTTTAAAATATTTAAATTACTACCATGATATTGTGAAATATTAAAATCAAATTTGTAAAGAGATTTTTAAAAATCAGCCTTGTTAGATGAGGGGAATTTGTCCTATGATACAAATGAATAACCTAACAGTTATGTCACCTAAATTTGGGGGAGAGGTTTTCTGAATACTCTGTATGGACATTGAGGGTCTCCCAATTGGGGCTTTACTAAAATCAGTGAGACCTTCTTAAGTAATCCAGGTTTACCTGGAGAGTTCTGCCTTCTGATCTCTGATTCTCCAGCAGTTAGAGTCTGTGATTAGCTGAGCTAAGAGCTCCCCTCTAAGCTGTCAGGGGTAGGGTGTGCAGTAACTGCCTCAAGATTTCACAGCCCAGTTATTCATAGTGGGCTTGTCCTTGGTCTCTGAGGAAGAATCCTGGCAGCCAAATGTATTCCAGGCCTAATTGAAGGGAACTCCTGTTCTCTGCTGGAATTGTCATCCTCACTTTAGTAGTAGTCTATACTCTTTCCCCACCCCAATTTCTTTCCCTGCTTCTCTGGGGGTGTTTCTGGGGGAAAACAAAAACGAAAACAAAAACATGTGGAGCAGTGACCAGGAAGATCTTATTAGCTATAGAAATGTCAGAACAAGCTCATCACTGGAGAACTGACATCCTCCATTTCATAGGCCTCTTCTTCCCAGATTGCTTTGGCTTTTTATGCTAATTTTAACAAGCCCTACCTTCCTTGGGTCCTGATGACGTTCTTCACCATGCCATTGTCACCTTTGCCACTGCCAGATAGAAGGCCAAGATCCTTCATCCAGGCAACATCTGGAGATGGCCTCTACTGGACTCACAGGCTGGTTAGCCGAAGGAGCTGACCTTGGTTACTGTCTAGACGCTGTTTTCACTAATGCCTTACTTAGTTATCTTGTCTCCCCCATTTCTTTTCTAAATAGTCCTAATTCTGTGTGATTAAGGCTCTCTCTGTCTCTCTGTCTCTTTTTCTCTTTGTCTCTTTCATATAAATAAAAGTCTAGAGAGTTAAGTAGTGGAGGTTTAAAGGTATGCTCTCCTTTTCAAGGACATGATTTTTTTTTTCTTTTAGAGAACTGAAGTCCACTTCAGTTCTTTATTTTTTTTCCTTTGCAAGGAAGAAATGCATTTAGTGAAATGACAGGAGACTTGACTTGGACGTGACAGATAATCTATGCAAAATCTTGCAATTAGTAACAGCTAGATTAGACATTTTCAAAATATGCCTTTAATAAAACCATCACGAGGAGCAGTGCCATCTAATGTACGTAGTAAACATAGAGAGTGAATTATTAATAACTAGTGGGGCATGCGGCTGACAGGACTCTCATTTTTCTCTGAGCTATTTGTGTTCAGGGCTTTTAGAAAAAAGGAACAGAAAGATAAATATGAACTTTTCTTCAGAAACTAATTATAGTCTCCCAGGATTAGAATGTCCCTGGCCCAGCAAACAGACCCCCAAATGTCCCAATGATGGGCACTGTTCTGCAAAGGGAAATACACCTCCGTTTCTGCCTTGCTTCTTAAGATCAGTTCCATGCCATTAAAATTAAATTAATCTGGACGTTATGTAGTCCTCATTAGTAGTGTCACTGGTCATGTGATTTAGATGGTCATTTGTCAGCCCTCTCTTAATTTGTAACCTTGAGAGTCACATCCTTGCTGAAATTGGCTAACTATGAACGCATAACCAAGCAAGCTTTTCTTTTTCTCTTCTTCTTTTTCTTTTTTCTTTTTTTTTTTAACTAGTGTAAGCCTTCAAATTGCTTCTGACATGGTCTTTTATCTGCTCTAATTTTTTTTTCCTGAGATTTGCTTGTGGAATTGTCTTTACTGTGGAAAGCCCAAGAAAAGCCCTCTCAAAGTTCCTGCTGCCAGTTGCCAATGAGTTAATTTTCTCCCATTGATGCTTCTGCAGAATTGGGACTGTTTAAGTAGACAAGGTCAAATTAAAGTGTTGGACTGTTCATGGGGTGTGGGGTGGGGGAGACAGAGGGCTGCAGCTCTTTCTGCTTTAGCCCCTCTGGCTAGGCAAGAAGCAGGAAAGTGTAGACAGCTAGCTCCCTTGAGCCAGCCCAAGGCACAGAGATATGTCCTAATAATGCCCCAGCAGCAAGGCTCCAACTGATCGTCCATCCATCTGTCCTGTGCTCCTCCCTCCCTTCTTTGGTCCCCAACTCCAGTTGGGTGCCAGCTGAGGTCACAGGAGAGGGTTTGCTCCCTCCGGGAGCCCTCCTCCCTAGGAAGCTGCGAAATGCAGCTCCCCAGCCTCTTCCTAGATTGACTTTGGTGCTACATGCCCCCACCGGGCTGCTGCTGCTGCTGCTGCTGCATTTATGCGCCCCCCACGCCGGCTCAGGCTCCCGGCTCCTGTTCCGAACGCGATGCCCGCCAAGGCACTCCACTCCAAGGCGCGCAGTGGCCCTTACCGAATACTACGCTTTTCGGAGACAAATGCCCGCCCCAGGCTGGCGCCATGCACTAGCGGGCGGCCTTGGGTCCCAAGGAACGTGAAAGGCAGTGGGGGCCTGGAGGTGCCAGGAAGGCGAAGGTTGGGGGGGGCGGGAACGGGAGGATGACAGTAAGCCTTGGGATCTGCTAGGTGCCCCCCGCTCGGCTAGGGGTGCTGGCCATTTATGCCACCCGGGACAGGCGGGCCCCAGAAGTTGGGCGGTACCTTTGGGGTGCTCGCCCCAACTCCCAGGAAGTAAGCCCCGGGGCCAGGGCCCCTGCGTGACCCCCCTCTCCCCGGCCTGCCCCCGTGGCACTGCGCCTCCCCTCTCCAAGCCTGGGCAGATTTCTAGAACAAACAGCAAAGGACCTGAGCGGTGTTCACTCCCTCGGCCTGGACCACCCTCTCCACCCCCGCCACCCCAGCCTTGGCGGCCATCGAAGTTCGCGGCAGCCTCGAGCTAGCCAGAGAACCAGCTATCGAGGGGAGCTCCGGGGGAGGGGGTTGCGTAACCGCGCCCCCCCCCAGCTCATGCCGTCTCTATTCCTGCCCTCCTTGCTACCATCCTCCCCCCTGCCCCCCACCAGCCACACACACACTGGGCTTAGGGCGGCCACATTTGGCGTCTGCCTGCCTGTCTCCGGACTTTGCCAGCTAAAGTTGCACCCCTGGCGCCCAGGCGGAGGCCAGCCTTCAGCCGCCAGGAAGGAGCCCTGCACGGACACCCTCTCTGGTCTGACTGGGGGTGGGGGTTGGGGGGCTGGGCTGGGGAGCAGCAGCCCTGCGATCTACGCTAACACGTCGAACTGCAGCGGGAGGTGGCTGGGGGGGGCGCAGGGGACGGGATTGGGGGGGGGCCCTGGTCGGGGCCGCTGGCTTACCTTGGGCTCCCTTAGCAGTGAGTGTGGGGCTGCGCGGTGACCGGCTGCTGCATCTCCCGGCGCGGCGCGGGCTGGGGCCGGCCAGGGGGAGCGGGAGCGGCTCCGGGTCCGGGGGCGCGGGTGCCCCGCATCCGCGGCCGCTGGCGGCCGGGGCAACCCGCCGCCTCGCAGCGTCGGGGGGCGTCTGCCCGCTCCTAGGGCGCGCCCGAGCCTCCTGGCTGCGCTGCGCTGCCCACCCGGCCCGGGCGCCGCTGCCAACGCCTCCGCCGCCTCTTCCACTACTACCGGCCGCCGCCGCCACCGCCGCCGCCTCCTCCTCCCCCTCCTCCCCCCGCGGGGCGGGTGCTCCCCCGGTGCTCCTCCCCCCTAGGTGTCGGAGCTCGCCATGGAGCCGGCGGCGGCTGTGGCGGTGGCGGCGGCAGCAGCAGCACCACGGACAGAGGCAGCAGGGGCAGCCCTGGCGGCGGGGGCGGCGGCAGCACCACGGACAGGGGCAGCAGGGGCTGCGGGCGCGCAGGGGGTCCCGGGCAGGCGGGCGCCGGGCGGGGGCGGGGGCACAGGCGGCAGCGGCAGGAGAGGCGGCCGGCGGTCCCCAGCGCCCCCCGCCTCCAGTGTCCTCATTGACTGCGCTCCGTTTGGGCTCTGGCGAGAGATCTGGGCTGGCTGGCCGTGGGGGAGGAGGGGGCGGAGAGGGGGAGGAGGGCGAGTGCCGGGGAGGGAGGAGGAGGAGAGATGGAGAGGGGAGGGGGGGAGAAGGCAGAGAAGGAGGGGGAGAGCCCGGGAGGGAGATGGAAGAGAAGTAGGAAAGGAAGAGGGGGAACCAGAGAGGGAGAAGGAAAGCTGGGGAGGGAGGAAGGGGAGCCCAGCGAGGGAGGGAGGAGAGCCCAGCGAGGCAGGGGGGGAGCCCAGGGAGGGAGGGAGGAGAGCCCAGCGAGGGAGGGAGGGGAGCCCAGGGAAGTCCTAGCAGCAGCAGCAGCAGCAGCAGCAGCAGCAGCAGCAGCGGAGGCAGCGGCGGAGGCAGCAGAGGTGGCCGCCTGCTCTCTTCTGCTCTCCATACATGGCCAGCCTGAGCAAACAGCGAGCTGCTCCCAAACCCCTGGCCCTACCACCTTGTTCTTTGAGGGTCCCCTTCCTCCCGCCTCGAAGGAAGGGTCAACACCCCTGTGGGGCTCGTGCCAGAGGGTGGAAGCCTAGAGGCGGAGCCGAGACCCTGGGCTAGGCTGCCGGGGCTGCCCTTCCCAAGCCTCCCTGCTGTTCCGCTCTGGCTCCCTTGGTCTCCAGCAGCAGGGCAGTGGTGCTCCTGGCCCCGGACAGCTGCTGAGCCGATGCCTCCATCACTGGTCGCTCTTCCTCCGCTAGGGAGAGTTGTGGAGTTATGGTTTGGCCCTGAACTTGTTGCGTGCTCCCTGCAGGTGGCAGTCCCCTGCCTCCGGATCCCCCTCCCTGGCAGGCCCCAGAAGAGCTCAGGCCCAGAAGAAGCAAGGGCTTCTCTTTGGGAGGGGAGGCGTCGGCTGCAGGGATATCACAAGACCCTTGTTTTTCAGAGAGGAGGAAGGGACTCCAAACTGGCCACCAGGAGCTTCCAATCCTTTGTGTTTTGGAACGAAATACATGCCTTCAGGGGAGGGTTAGAGTCTTAACCTGTGGCCTCACATCCTACTGGGCTGGCTCACAGCCCCAGGGCTCAGCCTCTTGTCGCTGGCTTGGTTCAAGAGCAGTCTGCTCTTCCCCCAGCTCTCTAGGCCTCCATTTTCTGCCCAGTCGGGCTCTTGATTTCTTTCCCGGGGTTATTTCACCGTACTCTCCTACCTCTAGGGTAGGGGACCTCTTAGCCATTCCCCGACCCTGACCTGTCAATTTCCAGCCTTCTGAGCTGTATTTTGATAATTCTTATTTCAATGAAATTGGTCTCCTTTGTAAGCCTTTATATTATGTTTACTGCATTTCAGGCCTTCTGAGAAGAGATGCATAGGCTTCCCCAGGCGAGTCCGTGCCATCAGTACAAATCAGATCCCTGGTTTTCCAGTTGAGGGGCCTGAGCCCCTGAGAGCTGGAGTGAATTGTTCCCCATAGTCGAAGGAGCTCAGATGTGCCTCAGGTAGCTGGGCAGTCAGGACCCCTCCCTTGGAGGCCCAGCTCAGACCAAGCCTCTCCCAGGTGACCCCCTCCACCCCTCCCCCGTTTGTGACTTCCCTCCTCGAAGGGATTTATTGTTCTGTACACACACTTTATCCTGTGTCTCCTCTCTTCCCCACCCCAGCCTATCTACAGCAAGAGAATATGTGTTCCAGGAAAGGAGTTAACTAATGATTGAAGGGGCCTCAGGGATCATCTTGTCCATCCCTACTTCATATTACAGAGGAAGCGACTGAGGTCTATAGAGAGTAAGAATGGTACGTGGCAGAGGACAGATTTTCACCCCTCACCTTGGGCACCTGGGCCTGTGCTCCCTCCACGTCCTCAGCTGCCTCTTCTTTTTCCTTTGCATCCTCCTGGCCTAACAGGCCTTGGCAGAGTAAACACTCAATAAAGGATGTATTGAACTGAGTCACTAAAAGGAAGGCATGGGGCAGGACTAGAAGGCCTCTAGTGGTCCCTCCTTATAATCAGATCATCCAGAGAAAATCAAGTTTGGCCTCCTGAAATCCCTAGTGCTTCCCAAAGACTAGGTAGTGATGGCAGAAAGCATCCCTGCTTTGCCTCTCCTCTGCCCCTTCCCTCGTGCCTTTTTAGTGCTCAGGGTGATCTGCCCCAGAAGCCCGCTGCCCACTTGGCTGCTTCTGGCTGAAAGCTGAGGAAGCATTGGGGTATTCACAGATGATTTCCCATAACCCTCCCCTGTGAAGGTCCCAGACTCATTCTCTATTTTCCAGTGGAGGGAGTTTAGCCTGCAAGAATTGGAGTGAGCTGCCCCCATAGTCACAAGAAGTAGGATGGACCACATATGGGCCCAGCAGAAAGAATGCTGAGCCCAGGTTTCTTCCACCAGGCCCCACTATCTTCCTGACAAGTGCTCTCAGCTGGCTGCTTCTCCTACCTGTGTGTGGATTTTGTTCTGGATTGGGGGGGGGCGCATTTCTTAGTTTGAGGGTTAGGGGAAAGGAACCTGCAGTCACACCTGTATACATATATACATACACACACACATACATATGTACACATACATATAAATATGCACATATACGTACACACACATGCATACTTTCTATCTATCTATCTACATATATTTACAGTTGTTATTCAGTTATGTCTGACTCTGTGACCCCATTTGAGATATTCTTGGCAAAAATCCCATAATGCTTTGCCATTTGCTTCTCCAGCTTATTTTACAGATAAAGAAACCAAGGCAGAGTTAAGTGACTTGGCCAAAGTCACAGCGCTAGGAAGTATCTGTGGCCAGATTGTATCTCAGGAAGTTTTTTTCCTGACTCCAGGCCCAGCGCTCTATCCACTGCTCCACGTAGCAGCCCACACATACATACATAGCCTATGTAAAAGTTGGCTAGAGTCTTGAGGTTTCTCAGACTTGTGACATTATGCGTCCTTAGGCAGTGCTTTGAAAGTCACCAGAGATCTCTCAGGATAGAGCTCAACCCACTGAACCATCCTTAAAAATAAAGCCAAACCACATAGCAAACCTTGAACTTCTGGCTTAATTTTGGACGTTAGCATCTGGGCATTTGTGGCTACACTTCTCTCCCTTCTTTTTACCATGGATAATGATGTTTGTTCCTGACCTTGAGGGACTGCTTCCCTTCTGTGTGGTGTGGTGGAGTGAGGCCTGTATTCATAGTCAGAGGGGCTGGGGTTGACTCTTAGGTCTACCTCCAATTACCACCTTTGTGACTTTGGACAAGTTACTTTTCTTGAGCCCCTGTTGTGTCATGTTTAAAAAACAAAAGAAGAAGAAAGGCAGGGGAATTGGACTAGATCTCATCGTGGACCCTGGTGAGCCTATAACCCAGGGCAGGGGATGGTTCGTGTATTCATGAACACATACATGCACGTTCTTTTAATCCACGCTATGCAGATACCTCATATCTGGGGTCTCCTTTGATTCTCACAACAATCCTGGGAAGAAGATGCCACAGTGATTACTATCCTCCCTGCACAGAGGAAGAAACTGACAGGCAGAGAGCTGAGGAACGCAGAGAAGGCTGCAGGGGGCAGTCGTGGTTCTGCCTTCCCAGCCCCCGGCGTCTATTGCTGCCTCTGAGGCTTACTCCCTGTTGAACCTTGGGCCCTAGCTTAGTATCCTTCCTACTGTGCAACCAAGCTGGTAGTCACCGACGTCATTTCTTCAGTTCTCCACGCAGGCCCTCCTGGATCTCCTTCCTGGTCTAACCCAACTCCTTGGCTTTCCAGGAGATAACCAAGTGTGGTCAGGGAGCCTGGGCTGAGCTTGTGGGGACATGTCTGCACAGAAAGGTCACTACTAGTTTTTGATCCAGGACCTTTCTCTCTCCAGGACTGTTTTCCTATGTATAAAATGAGGAAGCGTGTTGAAGCTCCCTTCTAGAATTAACATTCTCTGGCCCGTTCTTCATAACCAAGTCTTCTGCCCCCCATTATTAGTTCTGCATTGTACCAGGCTAAGTGACAGCTGTTGTCAGACCACTTCAGACTGATAGAGGGGAGGGTTTGGCCTATCTCAGTCTCCTCTACCTGGTTCCCATGGATCAGGATGGGATATTGGGCCTGTTTGTTCCCATAATTCTCCTGGTGGTTTGGGGGCCTTTCTGTAAATCTTACTTTATTGCTAATCCATAAAATCTAAATCTGCCTTCCATCTCTCTTAAACATGTCACTATAAATAACGCTGCCAAGGAAAGATTGAAATTACACTTGTAACAATGGAGAACTCCATTTTTCGGGGTTGTGTGTGCAAACATAAAAATCTCCATGCATGTACACAGCCTAGCCAAGAGGCAAGCCACACGGGGCCTGAGAGGAGGGCAGACACACAAGGAAAGTGCCACTTCAGACCAGCAAATTTAATGCCTTAAGGAAAAATAAAAAAAAAACAAATAGCAAGGTAGCAAATTCCATAGGTTAAATTTTAAGCGAACAT